CTTTAATTTTTGGGAGAAACTCCATACTATTTTCCATAATGGCTGCACCACTCTGCATTCTCACCAGCAGTGCATTAGGGCTCCCTTTTCTCCACATCTTCACCAGCACTTGTCATTTGTTGATTTGTTGATGGTAGCCATTCTGACAGGTATGAGGTGAAATCTCATTGTCATTTTAATTTGAATCCCTCTCTGATGATGAGTGACCTTGAGCACTTTTTCATGTGTCTTTTGGTCATCTATATGCCCACTTAGGGGAAGTGTTTATTTAGGTCCATTGCCCATTTTTTGATTGGATTGTTTATCTTCCTTTTGTTGAGTTGTGTGAGTTCCCTATAAATGTTGGAGATGAAACCCTTATCAGTGATAACATTGACAAATATGTTCTCCCATGCAGTGGGTTTTCTTGTTGTTTTGTTGATGGTTTCTTTTGCTGTGCTGAAGCTTTTTATTTTGATGTAGTCCCATTTGTTTATTTTCTCTTTAGTTTCCAGGTTACTTGTATTTCTTGAAGTATCTTTTTCAGTTTTGCCAATTTTTATTAAGTGCTGCTCTTTTTCATTATTTATTTATAGGAGATTTGATATATGTCAAATACAGCTTTGGTTAGTTATGTGCATTGTAAATACTTATTCAGTTGCTGGTTTGCTTTTTCATTTTAATAGATTTTAAAATTTAAACCACTTTTTAAGAAAAATAGTACAGAAAGTACAGAAGATTTCTATAACCACCCCCCCCCCCATTTCTAATTCCCCACACAGTTTCTCTTATTACTAACATCTTCCATTAATGTGGCACGTTTATTGAAATTGATGCATCCGTATGGATACATATTTTTAGTTTTATTGTTGAAAGTATTACAAATGTTCTCTTTTTTCCCCCATTGACCCCGTCCAGCCACCCTCCTCCTTCAACCCCCCACCCCAAGGCCTTCACCACCTTATTGTTTGTGTACATGGGTTAGGCATACAAGGTCTTTGGTTGGTTACCTCCCATGTACACACACCTTCCCCCACCTTCCCTCAGAGATTCTACACTCTGTTCCATGCTTCCATGTCTCTGGACACACTCGTCATCAGTTTATTTTGTTACTTAGATTCCACATTTTGAGTGCAATCATGTGATACATGTCTTTCTCTGACTGACTTATTTCACGTAGCATGATACTCTACAGGTTCCTCCATGCTGTCTCAAAGGGTAAGAGATTTTTCTATTTTACTGCTGCATAGTATACCATGGTATAAATGTACCACAGCTTTTTCATCCACTCATCTACTGATGGACACTCTATTTCCACATCTTAGCTATTATAAATTGTGCTTCTATGAACATAGGGGTGCATACATTCTTTCTGATTGGTGTTTTGGGTTTCTTAAGATATATTCCTAAAAGTGGATCACTCTGTCAAATGGAAATTCCATATTTAATTTTTTGAGGAAACTCATACTGTTTTCCATAATGGCTGCACTAGTCTGCATTCCCCCAACAGTGTACAAACATGCTCATAGAACAGCAAGGTAATGTGTGAAACCTGAGCTTATTAACTACCATTCAGGGTTGAATATAATGTCTGTGAAGCATAAAAGACCTAGGTCTCTCCACATTCTTGCCAGCACGTGTCATTTGTTGTTTTACTGATGGTGGCCATTCTGACAGATATTAGGCAATACCTCACTGTCATTTTAATTAGCATCTCTCCGATGAACAGTGATTTAGAGCATTTTTTCATATGTCTCTTGGCCATCTGTATGTCCACTTTGGAGATGTGTCTATTTAGGTCCCCTGCCCACTTTTTCTTAGGATTGTTTGTCTTCCTTTTGCTAAGTTGCATGAGTTCCTTACAGGTTTTAGATCCTCAGCTTCCCCTAATCTGCTGTGTATTCCTTCCAATGTGTTCTCTTTTGTGCTATGTCATTCTCTATTTCTGACTGTTCTTTTTTTATACTTACTATATATTTTTTTCATGCTGTTGAGCATCTTTATCATCATTATTCTGAACTCTATGTCAGATAAATTTCTTATCTCCTTTTCATTTATCTCTTCTTCTGAAGAATTCTCTTGTTCTCTCATTTGGGAGCAGGTTTTTTGTCTCCTCATTTTGGCTGTCTATTTGGATTTGGAACTATGCACTAGGTAAATCTGCTATGCCTCCTAATCACTAGTGCAGGACAGCGCCAAATGGTGTTTCTGACTGATTAGATTAGGCAAAGACTCAAAGCCTCCAGAGACCTGCCTCTGCTTGCACACTGATTGGATTAAGTCTTGAGTAGCCCTCAAGCAATTGCCACAGAGTGGTGAGTGCTTTTCCCTCAGTGCTTCTTCCTGGAGGCTAATTGCTATTCTCAGTCTCTTAATGGACCTCAGAAACTCCACACCATGGAAGTTCTGCCTGAGAGAGATGGCCTCTGCAGTGTGAGGGGATGACTCAACACAGGAAACAGGGTGTCTGCCTTCCAAGCTCTAAACCCAAAACCCCTAACCCTGGATTCTGCTCACACAGCTCCAATACACTCTGTCCTCCCTCTGCCAGAGCACAAGGTGAATGGCTACAAACAAAATTTTGTGCATTGTCCCTTTAAGAGGGTGACTGCATTTCCAGTCCTCTCTCCCTGGCAGACAACAACCCTGCTGCTTTACACAGCCAGATGTTACCTGAACATCTTTCTCAGTTGAGGTCCTCTCTGCTGGGGGGAGGGGGGAAAGGCAAGCTTGGGGAGGTGTTCTCAGTGGCAACACCCCACAGCTGAGATATCTTTCCAGAAATTGAGCTTCTGTCTGGGGGAACCTGGCCTGCCCTTTCCTGACTCTGCCCTTTTTACCAGTCTCTATGCAGTCTCTATTTTCCATCCTTTGTTATCAGGGTTCTCCCCATCTAGTCTTCACTTGATTATTTAGGGTAATGTTGTTTTTTTATTTTAGTTGTAATTCCAGTTTGGTCCTGAGAGTGTGTCAGTGTAGCTCCAACATACTCCCATGCCATTTTTTCCCACTATTTCCTTATATTTTAGAAAGGAATGCAGTATACACAGTTGTTGATGTTGATAAATCAAAAATAGAAATGTAGTTTTATAATGAAAAACTATAAAATAACTTGTAAAATAGTTATAATTGAAACTGTAAACATTGAGGAATGATATTAGAAAGGACTTTACATTTCACTTTGCACACTAGGGTGTTCTCTGAAATAAAGTATTATGCATATATTACTTCTGGAAATAATTGGAAACAGATCAGATGAGCCAGGCCAGGCGAGACCCTAAATGTCAAACAAACTCTTCTTTAGCTATGGAAGAGTTTGCTTAGTCGGTGAGCTTCTTACACAGGATCACTATGGGCAGTCACAGATTCCAATTTAAACATTCCTCACAGGGAGGGGGACCAGATGAGGTAAAATGGACAGAGGAAGAGATAAGTCAGTGGACTTAGGGCAAATGAGAAATATCTCGTGATGCCCTTGTCTCACATCTACAGAATCTCATTTGCCAGTGCCCCTTGTGCAGGAAGTCACAGGGTCTGCCCAGCATCTTGATAAGCCTCTGTTGGTCATCAGGTTCTACTCCTGCTCCTGCAGACACCTCCTATCCAGGGGTAGGAGAGCATTCTCTGGTGCTCAGCACACCTTGGAAAGCTCCTCTTCTTCTACTCACTACCTTCAACTAGAAAATGATGACCAGGTAAGAGATGGCTCAGAACTATCATCTCTCAAAGGCAGTTTTGCTTTCTCACTCTTAGTCCACATGGTCACAACTGCATCTTGGGGTGGAGCATGCAAGGAGCCATGGGCTCCCATGAAGGAGAGTCCAGAGACCTGAAGCTCTCTCAGGCAAGCTATGGGTGCTGTTAGCTTGGGCTGTGAGGGACCCAGGTCCTTTCTGCTTCACAGACATTGTTTTCAAACCTGAATTGTTGTTAATAACCTCATATTTCTCACGTTATCTTACTGTTCTGCCAGTATGTTTATTAGGGAGTTAAAACCTCATTCTCCCTCCCCTTGCCCTCCAATCACCCATTACTGTCACCTTTTCCTGAGAGCAACCAGGAGCCAGAGGGAAAAAGGAGCCCAGTGGGGAGGCAAATCAATAGGACACAGAGGAGCTGAAAATTAGATTGGATGGAAAATTATGAAAACCCATATATTATTATAGTCTCCTCACAGTTGCTTTTCCTAGGACTGTTTGTCTCCCAATGTAATTACTAGTAGATAAACCTCTCATTACATCTCATCATTTATTTTACTAGATTCTGTTGGCTCATCTTTATTGGGTGTCATTTTCTTCGAATAATATATCTCTCATCACAAATGCCTTGAGGATGGAATGTACTTTACTTTTTAGGTGGTTATATGTAAATATATTTAAGAATGTAAGTTTATCGTTTTGGTAGCCCTAAAAAGACACGCAAGAGAAGTTACTAGAACTGGACTGATGATTTCAAGGCATCAGACACTTGTGCTCTTTCAAATCACACAAATGAGTTCCCATTTTAGATTTGTCCCTGAGAGTTACTTGCTTCCTGCCCCACCACCCCCCGTGTGCACCAGACACACCATCCTGGAAGTGGGGCTGCAGGAGAGGGGAAGGGCAAAGACTCTGACACAGACCTGTGGGTTCAGGTCCAGACTCTTCCACTTAGGCCCGTGAGAACTGGACCTCCTTCTGCTTCTCTCATCACAAATGCCTTGAGGATGGAATGTACATTACTTTTTAGGTGGTTATATGTAAATATACTTAAGAATTTATGTTTATCGTTTTGGTAGCCCTAAAAAGAAGCGCAAGAGAAGTTACTAGAACTGGACTGGTGATTTCAAGGCATCAGACACTTGTGCTCTTTCAAATCACACAAATGAGTTCCCATTTTAGATTTGTCCCTGAGAGTTACGTGCTTCCTGCCCCACCACCCTCCATGTGCACCGGACACACCACCCTGTAAGTGGGGCTGCAGGACAGGGAAAGGGCAAACACTCTGACACAGACCTGTGGGTTCAGGTCCTGGCTCTTCCACTTGTGCACGTGAGAACTGGACCACCTTCTGCTTCTCTTTTCCTATATGCCAGATGGGTATAGGCAGAGTACTGGCCTCATAGGGCTATTTGGAGGATTAAAAGAGGAAATACCATGTAAGCACTCATCAGCTGCTACTCTTCACCTATGTGTGAGTGGATTTATGTCTCACACCTAAATTCTGCAAGAGCGTCCTTCTTTTCAACCAAAGCCTTTTGTAAAATAGAACTAAGCACTTCCTAACTCCACCACCACCACCAGAATTCTCTTACACAAATGCTTTGATCTGCAAAGAAATCTTTACTCCAAATCACATGGAGCAACAATAACTAACTTTTATATTACACATATCATCAGAAAATCACTTAATAACCCCAATTTCCCTATTTCTGTCTCAATTACCTCTATTCAAACCCTTTGCCCCTCTCCCTCTTCTTCGCAAATGAGCTTCTTCCTCCTCTAAAATGCAGAGACATTAAATTCAGTCCTGTGTTCAAGTCTTGTTTTGTTTCCAGGCCTAAAACTGCAGGGTTTCTGAGCGCAGATATGACCGCCACAGCATGGGAGTCCAACCTCACACCAACGAGTGGAATTGATCAGGCCTTCCATGAATCTGATACACAGTTCATGCTCTTGAAATTACTGACAGCCATCGTGGCCCTGGTGGGGCTGGCAGGGAACTCCGTGGTGCTCTGGCTCCTGGGCTTCCGCATGCGCAGGAACGCCTTCTCGGTCTACATCCTCAACCTGGCGGGGGCTGACTTCCTCTTCCTCGGCTACCCATTTATACATAGTCTACTTTTACTTTTTGACTTTGATTTGGTCGATGAAGTAATTAGCAGATTTCTCCCGCCTGTGTCATTCTTTGCCTACATCTCAGGCCTGGGCTTTCTCAGCGCCATCAGCACGGAGCGCTGCCTGTCTGTCTTGTGGCCCATCTGGTACCGCTGCCGCCGCCCCAGACACTTGTCCGCCATAATATGTGCCCTGCTCTGGGCCCTGTCCCTGCTGCTGAGCATGCTGGAAGGGAACTACTGTGGCTTCTTTAGTTTGGATGAGCCCAATGTTGGATTTCATGTTTGGTGCCCAATGTTGGATTTCATCTCTGCGGCGTGGCTGATTTTGTTATTTGTGCTTCTCTCTGGCTCTAGTTTGGCCCTGGTGACCAGACTGCTGTGTGGCTCCCATCGGTTGCCGCCCACCAGGCTCTACTTGACCGTCATGATCACGGTGCTGGTCTTCCTCCTCTGTGGCCTGCCCTTCCGCAT